TCCCCCAGCTGCCATCTGCTCTCCCAGCCCAGATCCCTTTGCCCTCCTCACGTCCACCCTGTGCCAGCCACCCAGAGAAACCGGGCTGCTCTGTCCAGAACATCACCTATCCCGATCACGACTGGACTGTCGATGGCTCCGCTCAGAATCCCGATAGGAAGGCGTTGGGGAGGGCGATTCCCACTGCGAGCGCCTTGAGGAGCCATAGCCACTGTCCTCTTCCTCCCAGGTAGACCTTGAAGGGGTAGCTGCATCTGGGGCCACAAAGAACATAACCACAGGAAACATCTAACTTAACCAGGACACGGCTCTAGAGCTATCAGCCAAAAGTCAATTCCCCAAATTTCTTTATAAAGTATAAACTTTATATCTGTAACACGTAACTATTTGTAACAGATTTAACATGGTTTGGACAGTTTTTAAAGATACCTGGATTTTAATGGTCCAGTTTTCATGGGTTTATAACATTTTTCTTTTTTTTTTTTTAAGTGTGTTTATAACTTTTGAAGGAACAGCCAATTTCTCTCAGCAAACATACTACTCTTACACAATACTCTTGGATATAAATAATTATTTTTAATAAATCCTCTTCCCCAGCTCCCTATTCTTTCCTGCCATTTGGCAAACTGGCCATTCAGCCAACCAGCCCATCAGCTTAAAGGAGCAGATCCATCTCGACAGGTCCAGGGCCTCCCCATATGACTCAGAACCAAGTATTCCAAGAAGTTCACAGTGGAATCAGCAATTCTGACTCTACCCACAGCAAATCAACTGAGGACGGGATTCGCTCACCCCACCTTTTACACACTCGATCCCTCACAAGTCACCCCAAGTGACAGCTCAGTCTACCTTTAGGTCGGTGTCTCGGGCTCTCCGGTTCATTTCTTCTACTGCGCTCTGACCCTCCATCTCGCTCGGATCTGCTGCTGTGTCTGCTTCTATCCCGCTCATCTGTCAAGAGCCACACACAGAGCTTAGGGTCTATGTGTCGCATGCTAACTTCCACCTGTCTTCACCCTAGAGAAAGGACAGGCCTCCCCACTCACTCACAGGTGCAACCTGCACTGCTCTAATGCGATCCTTGGGCTCCTGAACTCACATAGCCCCACTCTTTCAAGGGGTAAAAATAGTTACTGGCTAGAAAGTTTCAAACTCACAGTAACAGTTATTTTCCTGCAAGAATTCAAAAAACAATAGTTATAAGTCTACAGTGAATAGCTGTTTAATAGTTACAAGTCTATAAACTATAAAACTTACAACCATACTGAGCAAAACCAGCGTTGGATTTTATGTCTAGCTTTGCTCCCCAGCACTGTCCTTTCTCTTTCACCAAAACTGCTGTAAATTCTGGTTTCTTATACATATTACCCGTTACCACCTTTACCACCAATTGTAATAAAATGAGGACCACACCCTCAAGCAAAGCAGCTTTGTTGCAAGTAACAGTTCTTAAGCTGCCTGCTATTCCCAATCCTGACACAATCAAAACCAACAGTGCTCCCTAATTATTGGGCATTAGAAAAACTCCTGCAATACAAAAGAGGCTGACATGTTAATTCAAATGTTTAACAGGCTACAGGAACTACGCCGACCGGTTACCTCTGTCTCTCTTGCGGTCACAGTCTCGATCCCGTGATCTCTCTTTCTTCCGATCCTTTTCTTCTTTGGACGAGGCATAGACACCATGTTCCCGCCGCTCCCGCTCTCTCTGCCGATTGCGTTCCCAAAACTCTTCACTCACACCACCAGGATGGGATGGAGTCTCTACCCGAGCAGATCGATAATGTCTGAAACAGGGAGGGCAACTAGTAAAAGACCCTTCTATAGGAGAAAACCCTTGCCCCCAGACCTCTGGCTGGCTGACCTGTCCTTTTCCACTTTATCTCCCGACAGGCTTACTTATGGCAACAACCCAAAACACTTCTAACCCCCATCCTCTCTTTAGTTGCCTTTGACTGTTCCCCACAAATCTGAAGAAAACACCAATTCCTATCCACTTTAGATACTACAGAATCATAATAAAATCATAAAGGTCTACATATCCAACAAGAAAACAGAAATAAACACGCAATGTTATTTTCTGACCGCCATTCTCGTTCCCTTTGCGTCAACCCATCCTAAAGCCTTTACCTGTCTTTTCGGCTATGTCGGCCAGCTTGGTCACTGCCCTCCTCCTCAGCATCCCTCTGGTCATCCTTGCTCTCCTCCCAGTCCTTGTAGGAAGAGATTCTGGACTTCTTCTTGTCCTCACCATCGTCCTTCTCCTCTCGCTCCCTTCGTTTCAGGGAAGCTAACAAGTCCAGTCCCAGCAATGAAGGGCGGGGGGCAGGGGCCTTGAAAACATGCTGCTCACTGGCTGCACTTTTGGTCTTGCAAATAAGACCGCCAACCTGAGAGTCCAGATCAGTGCCTTCCAATCGATGGATGGAGGCATCCTCGCTGGTGTCCTCCATGACAGACTCTGGGATGTCTGTGGAAGGGAGACAACCCATTTTGTACTGGAGGTAAGAGAAGGTTCAACTCTGCTATAACCCAGGATAACTATAGTTAGAAGTATATTCAGGAGGCTAACTACCCAACAAGACGAGGCTTTGTTTAGCTACCTCTTACCAAGACCTTTCCATTAAGTCAATGACAATCTCAAAAGATCCTCCGACTCCCACCCCAACACACATCAGAAATAAACACACACACACACACACACTCGCACACCCACCAAACACCAGGATCCAAGAGGGTATCATCCAGGCAAGAACAGACCTCACTAAGGGACACTTGCTAGAACATCATAGCATCTAGAAAGGGACTGTAGGGGAAACACCACTAGATTTTAAGTCCAAATCCTCAATTAGAATGCAAGCTTTTGACATTTTCTACTTGCATGATTGTAAGCAGAAAAATTAATATTTGGTTAGGCATAATTTCTCTATCTGTAAAATAGAAATACTTTTTGTTTTATCTAATCCATGGAGCTATTGTGAGAATCAAACACTAGAGTGTATGTGAAAGCACTCTGTAAATATACAGTGTTACATAAAGGTGTTACATTATTTTACTTGCTGTGCTCCTATATACCAACTGGGGCTCAACATTTTCTACCTGAGTTATTCTACTTCTCCCTCCCTTTAAACTACAGGTACAGTAGAGTAGGCAGATTGGGGTATAAGGCTACCATGGATGTGATCCATTCATTAATGGCTTTATTGGGACCAGTTGTGGTTGTAGAAAAGAATTACCTCACAGCAGTTGAAATCTATTTAATGACAATCCACGTTCACCAAAAATATTGATGAGAAACACTAGGTTTCGTTATGAAATGGTGTTCCTGAAAGTATTAAGGTGACTGTAAGATTTTCCGGCACTCAACTTGTAACAAATTCCTCTTTACCTCCCATTACACACCATTCACTTATAAACATACACTGATTTCTGCGTGCTTGGATAATTCCCCTTTCAACAAGTCAGTGAAGCAAAGGAACTGTCAAGGTGCAGGTACCACCGGAATCCAGAATGTTTTGCCCAGCTCTAATTAACATGCATGGCTCTATAGAGAAATAACGCCCAACAGACTGGACACATAATATGAACATAGACACAAGAGTTGCATTTGGAAAAATGCCATCAGGCAGAAGAGAAAAGGGAGAGCTGCATATTGGTGACATCTGTGTGCATGTGAGGAAATCTAAATAAGAAGGTAAACACATATGTGTTCTGGTCAGCAGTAGTCTGAACTAGAAAATATACTCCTATAATGGGAAAAAGAGAACCTTGTCTGTCTTGCTGTTGCTGTGCCCAGTGCCTAGCAAAATAAACGTTTGATGAATAAATGGATGAATGAATTTAAACTGACGAATGGAGAATGGGAAGCCAAACATTTCTAGAGACAGCAAAGGAACATACCAACAACCCAGGATAAGGCATCTGATCTGACAAGAGTTAATTAGCTGCTGAGAACAAATAAGACGTTAAGGGGCTGGATTCTGGAGAATGATAAATGACAAAGAAGCCACATAGGATTAAAAAAAAATTTTTTTTTAAGAAAAACTAGATTTACTCATTCAACAATTTTTCATTGACTGCCTTCCGTGAGCCAGTTGCTGTTTTGGGCAATAGGAATAGAACAGAGAACAAAACAGACAAAAATCCTCGGCTTCTAGTAGATGAGATCACGTAGTAAAGATACCACTATGACGAAGAAAAGGAAGACACGGGATCCCTACTTGGGCTCGGTCTCTGCCTGGGAGGGGACTAATGCAGAAGCCTGAGGAAGGGTGCAGGGTGACCCCTGGACAGCATCCTTGCACCTCCGTGAGGCCGCGCCAAGCAGCAGGATCTGACCAGATCAAGGAGAAAGGATGGAGAAGGCCTGAGCGGCGCAGCATCCCTAAGGTGAGAAAGGCAAGTTGGGTGACAGGGACGAGACTTCGCAAACCCGGGCAGGAACCTGAGCGAAGGACCGATATCCCCCGCCTGGAGCTGCCATGATTGGCGAAGGGCAGTTCAGGAAGGAATAAGGGACACTCACCTCACCAAGCCCGACTCTCGGGACCTTCTGTCCCAGATTCTGGGGCGCCGGCACCACCACCCCTCACTCAGACCGCCTTAGAAATCCAGACATAAACCTTAAACGCGGCCATTATTGTCCCATAATACCTTGCGCGATCCCCTCTATCTGTCCAAAGATACCATCGAGTGCGGCCCGGAAAACGCCGATTCCCCGCTCCGGTTGTGGGACAAAAAGCGACCAAGCACTCAAGGCTAGAGTGTCCTCCTCTGGGACTCGGCTCAGAGACACTTCCGAGTCTCATCGCGACCAATCACAGTTAGTCTGAAAGGCAAGAGGAAAGGGAGGGTGAGGGGAGGAGGTCGGTCATGTTTGATAAGGGCGGAAGTGACTCTACGGCTTCCGGCCGAAACCGGGCAAAGTGGACTATGAGTAGAATAACCACTTCTGCTTGTTGGACTATTGAGGAGATCGACCTCAAGTTTACCTACTGCGCCTGTGCATTTTCTTTTCCGTTTCCGTTTTCTTAAGCGGTCCGCCGAGAGTTGCCAAGCCCTAGCGGCTGGGTTACTGTAGGTTGCCGCTGGCGTAGGAGTCGCTGGGGTCCCACCTTGTTTGGAGAAGGGGTCAGGGTTGCGGACAGTCCTGAAGTGGAAGAGAGGGAAGTAAAGTAAGTATCGTTTTCCGTAGCGGTTGTGGACCAGGAGTAGCCCAACCACAGGCTTCGTTAAATATATGTATGTTTATTTATCTTGACTATTTTGAAAAAAGAAACGCTCTCTCCTGTCTGTTCACTCGCAGAGATGACCACTGATGGTATTTGGGGGTATTTATTTCCACTTGTTTTTATATGCAAATGTATACATTTGTATTATAGTCAGGTTTTGTACAGCAGTGGGATCACACTTTGTATAGTTTTATAACTTCTTTATCATGAGAACTTTTCAGTATCTGAAATACTCATTTCTAACACAATATTTTGGCCGTGTAATAATATGTTGCAGGACTGTACTGTCGTTTTTCCAGTCCCCTATTTTGGGCCATTTAGATTGTTTCCAATTTTTCACCACTAATAATATCTTTTCTACATAAATCTTTGTAGACGTGTCGAATTAATTCTCAGAAATGGAATTGTTGCTCAGATGGTTTTCTTCCTAGAAAAGTTTTCTTCCTAGAAAACTTTTGCTTCCCTGCATTCCAGCGGGGGCAATGAAATGCGTGTCCGTTCACACTCTTGCATTATTGTTTCGCTTTACCAATTTAATGCCTTTGTCAAGTAATCTTCTAATTTGCTTTTCTTTGTTTACTAGTAAAGCTTAACTTTCCAAAGGTACAAACTTTGTCCATTTGTACCTCTTCTTTTGTGAAGTCTCTGTTGGTATTCTTTGCTATGAACATATTCTTAGGTGTGGCATCAGTTTTCCTCTCTTCCAACAATTATCCAGGCCCCTCGTCCCAGTGGACAGCTTTGCCCTCCCCTCACTTCCTCCTCTTTATCAGTAACATACTGTTTGGTGTTATTTGAATTCCCCCTACCAGTCCCCCTGCTTGTGTTTCCTCTCTTGCTATGTCTCTCTCTGTCAAATAAATAAAATATTTTTTTAAAAAAATAGGAACTTATTATAGCAGAAGGAACACTGCATTAGAAATTTGGTGGCTTGGATTCTAGTCCTTGTTGTAGCTAGAACGAAAACTGTAAGCGAACAGGTCTGTGAAATGGGGGGATTGGATTAGATCCCTTCTATCTCAGTATTTTATGACTTGTTTATTTTTTGTGTGTGGTTGTCACACACACCCTTAAATGATCTGTTTGCCATGTGGTGAGGTGCATTTAGTAAGATATGCACCAAGAATCTTTAAGCCAGGACGCATGATAATACTCCATCAGTAAAAGACTTTAAAAAGTATGGTACAGGGGCGCCTGGGTAGCTGAGTCGGTTAGGTGTCTGCCTTCGGCCCAGGTATCGAGCCCCTCATTGGGCTCCCTGCTCAGCAGGGGAGTCTGCTTCTCCCTCTCACTTTGCCCCTCCCCCCTGCTCATGCTCTGTCTCGCTCTATCTCAAAGAAATAAATAAAATCTTTAAAAAAAATAAAACGTATGGTCCATGCATGAAATAGTATGTCGCTGTGACAGTGTGTGTAGGGATATGGAAAGATCTTTGCATGTTAGGTAAAACACTGCCAGGTGCAGAAGAGTGGGTAAAATATGTGTGCTGGACATCTGTCATTTGCCTCTTCAGCTCCACTCTTCCTCCTTCTCTAGACTGCTCTGGGACCAGGAGACTGGGCTGCCTTTTGCATCTCCCCTGCTGTCTGGTTCCAGTTTGAGTCAGCCAGTGGGCACATTAGCAGATCAGAGGGAGGGAGAAGAGTGGCTGCATCCCTTCACTGCAGGCTGACTCCCTATACAAGGGCCTTCTGCACCCCACAGTCCCGACCACACACTTCTGCTAACTGCTCCCTCCCATAGCCCCTTCAGGCCTAGGGGTAGGAACAGCACCCTGCTCTTACTAGCTGAAGTACAGCACTGCACCCTTTTGTCTTCGTATAATCTCTTCAAATTTGAGAATGTCATCTTTTTCCTGCTGGCACACTGGCAGATAGAATAGGCTATCTTTGGGGCAAAAGAGGGAAAAAACATAGGAATGCATATTGTATCTTCCTGTAAATGCATAACTAAACTGGAAGATAAGGTGAGAAGCTAATGAAAGTAGCTACATGGTGTGTGGGGAGAAATAGGCTAGTGCAAATGGGGCCAGTTGAGGGCAGACAAAGGGAGGGAGATTTTTCACAGTGTACATTTCTATATTGTTTGTTTTTAAGCTGGTGGACTTGCCACCAGCTTGTGCGTTTAGTGTTTTCTTTTTACTTTGATACTTTGTTGTATGAAACCATTTTTTCCTCTGGGAATAAAATGTATGTATATTACCTACTCCAAAAATTAAGTTGTTGTTTTTTTTATTAGGACGCATGCACTTACTTTGTCTTTAAATATTGCAATTGTATTTCAGAACTGACAGTGAGGATTACTATTTGGATTATTTCAAGATGAGCTTCCTGTTGCCCAAGCTAACTAGCAAAAAAGAAGTAGACCAAGCAATAAAAAGTACTGCAGAGAAGGTGTTGGTCCTCAGGTTTGGGAGAGACGAGGATCCTGTCTGTCTGCAGCTAGATGATATAGTAAGTGAATTTTTTAAATAAATGGCTTTTATTAAAAATCTATATATTCTCTCTTCAGTATCTACAGAGTGCTTGGAAGGGAGCGGTCAGGCCCAGAGACACAGTTTTTCATTTGTTGGCACACTTTCACCAGGAGCTGGTCATGTGCCTGCCCTGAGCTGGGACCCCACGTCTCTGATTGTGCTGAATCTGTCCTAGATGTCCTTGCCCACCAGCAGCCATCCAAGTTCAGTTTCACCAACAAGGCCGTGGAGGACCAGAAACACTATTAACAAGCATCTGTGAACATTATTTTCCTTGGTGCTCATGACAGTAGGACAATTACTATTCCCATGCGGGGAGATGATCGGCAGCCAGGGAGGTCGGGTGACGGCCCACAGGACAAAACCACTAACCTACAGAGCTGGGGTTTGAACTTCCATTTCTCTGCCTGCAGATAAGCTTTTCTTGTGTGTTGCCTCCACTGTGTGCCTGATGATAATCTCTGATTTCATAACACATCTTCATACTCTGATGAGTAGGGAGGGGAGTATGAGACAGAATGGGTTTATTCCTGTCTCTTTTTATTATGGAGAGAGACTTACCCCAGAACTGAGACCTCTTCCCAGCATCTCTATTGCTGCTACCCATGATGTGGATCCTGTATAAGAATCTTTATTACTGTGATTAAAAATGAGCGTGTGATATGTTAACCTGAGGGGGGAAAGGGCCAGAGGATTATACCCTCAGCCGTAGAGGAGAGGGAATATCATGGAGCCAGGCTGCCTGAGTTCAAGTCCCAGCTGTATTGTTTACTGGCTATGTGACTGGAGGCAGATTACCTCAGTTTCTTCATCTAAGAAATGGGGACTGTAATAACCTCATAGGAATGTTGTAAGGATTAAATGAGTTAACAAGTGTAAAGCACTTAGGACACTTAGCACATAATAACTGCCATGCAAGTCTTCACTATTTTTATTATAATTATCATTCATGGGGGAATTGGAAGGAAAGAGATTTGGGGGAATTTCAGTGCACAGTACATACCTCTGAGTTGTTTTTGTTTAAGTGAACATGGATTTTATAAATCCACAAAAAGTTCATAAAACTTTACTACCAAAACCAGATTTTTTTTTTTAATGTACTTTTAAAAATGTATTCACACAATTTTCCCAGGGCCCTCTCACAAGTCTACCAACAGAGACTCAGACTCTGAATGATAAGGTTATACTGTGTCTAATGTGGAACTCAGGAGAGATTCTCGCCCCAGGAATTTCTTTCAAACAGAATATCCCAGTAAAAAGTTTCACAGAAGAAACCTTAGCTGCCTCTCGTATTGTGACCTACCTGTCACTCTCTGTTTGCAGCTTTCTAAGACCTCTTCTGGCCTGAGTAAAATGGCTGCCATATATCTGGTAGATGTGGACCGAACTCCCGTTTACACGCACTATTTTGACATCAGTTATATTCCATCTACTGTGTTTTTCTTCAATGGGCAGCATATGAAAGTGGATTACGGGTAAGTTTGATTGACTTGACGTTACTATAGCGGTGGGAGTTTCTTTTCCCCAAGTAATTGCAGTAACTCGCCTACCTGCCTGTGCTGGTGGCTTTGTGAGCCTAATGTTGCTGCTCTTTGTTCAGCTGATGCACTCATTTGTTACGTGAAACTTGGGTGCAAAAAGAGAATTTCCAGTGCGATTGGCAGATTTTAACCTCCTACTGGAGCATGAAAGATTTGTACAATTTGGGAAGTACTAACCATCTTTCAGTGTAGAAAATACAGAACAGCTTTTTTAAAAGTTTCCCAGGAATTTCATTTAAAACAAAACATGTCAGTGTACTTAAACTTCTGGGACTGGTTGGCTGCATTTGAAAAGAAGTGTTCTAGCAAACTAAGACATGCTTCTCTCTGGCCAACTGTCCTCTCTTCTGCCACTCAGAAGGTTTTGAAGACATTCTTCAACCAACTCTGTCAAGAATAAGCACCGTGAAATCTTTAACACTCTCCACTGCATCCAGTCAGCATCCTAACACTTAACATGTATTTTCGGTGTGCCCTAGTTATCATTTCTTACTGTGGGTGAGGTGTCTGCTTGTCTAGATCTCTGTACCTTGTCTACGGCCATACCACCCTGAACGCGCCCGATCTCGTCTGATCTCGGAAGCTAAGCAGGGTCGGGCCTGGTTAGTACTTGGATGGGAGATCTCTGTACCTGTTTTGTCATAATCTTTCTGAAAGTGCGTTAAATATTACCTGTTTTAAGTATTTTAAAGCTATTTATTCACCTAGGATACAGTTGATGTAAGTATTATTTTGGTGCAATCTTTTTCAAGGGTGATTTATGACACTATTTACCATCTTAAAAGTCTGTAAAATTTTGGGGGCACCTGGGTGGCTCAGTCAGTTGAGCATCCAGCTCTTGATTTTGGCTCAGTTGATGATCTCGACATCATGGGATCGAGTCCTGTGTCAGGCTTCAGGCTCAGCACAGAGTCTGCTTAAGACCCTTTCCCTCCCACCTCCTCCCCACCCACCCCCCACTTGTGCACTCTCTCTCTCTCTCTCAAAAAAAAAAAGTAAAAAAAAAATTTTTTTTTTTTGAAGATTTTTATTTATTTATTTGATAGAGAGAGAGCGAGAGCAGGAACACAAGCAGGGGGAGTGGGAGAGGGAGAAGCAGGCTTCCCGCCAAGCAGGGAGCCCGATGTGGGACTCGATCCCAGGACCCTGGGATCATGACCTGAGCCAAAGGCAGACACTTAACGACTGAGCCACCCAGGCGCCCAAAAAAAAGTAAAATTTTTAACCCACCAATTGCATATCCAGGAATTTCTCTGATGGAAGAATAATCGTGAAAGTGGGCAAAATTAGCTGCATGAATATTCATCCCACCATTATTTAGAAAGCAAAATACATAGAAAGAACGTAGATGTCCATAGAGGGATACTAGATATCAATTTCATATAACGTTGTGGATGCAAGTTTAATAACTTTGAAAGAAAAAGGTTATATGTGGGTTGGAAAAGCACATTACAAAATAGTTTGCATGATATAATTGCCATGATTTTGAAAAAAGAAATGCATCTGCATACACATACGTACACGCGTGCGCATGCAGATTGGAAGGACATGCACCACATGCAGCCTCTGGCCTCACTGGTAATTTTTTTTTTCTAAAAAATTTCTACAATTAACAGACTTGAAGTTTGAAATAGTAAAAAAATAAAAACAAAGATTTCATACCCACCACTCAAAAGTGTAAGTGAGGGGAACTCAGAGACAATGACCAGTTAACGGGCTTTACACAATGTAGCCAACAGCAGCAGCAGCAGACTATGCCCACGCCAGCATCCAGGCAGTTCTACTGGATACGGAGCTAAGAAGTGATGAAAACAGATTTTGAAGCGGGGGCCCTTGCATGATGGGGCTCACATGCCACCCCAGTGGCCGACGGCACTGGCTTTAGTCCTTTATCAGATGGGCCCGGTAATTGCAACCAGAGAAATCAATGTCAGGCTTCATGTCTTAAGTCTCCCCAACGAGAAGAAAGTTACAGAGCTGCGATTCATTTTGTTGTTCCTGAAGGTCTGCAGCGAGTCATCGCCCAAAGTTCTGAGCAAGGTTGTTTTTCTTCTGTGCTCTCTAGGTCTCCGGATCACACTAAGTTTGTGGGAAGTTTCAAAACTAAGCAGGACTTCATAGATCTGATTGAAGTAATTTATCGAGGAGCGATGAGGGGAAAACTTATTGTCCAAAGTCCTATTGATCCCAAGAATATTCCCAAATATGACCTCCTCTATCAAGACATTTAGCACATTTACTACTGAAAGTTGAAGACAAAGGCACATCTTGAAGCAGTACCTGAGCCCAGCTATGCTCTCTTCCTGGAGCCCTTCAGAAAGGTGCTCAGCGTCCCAGCAGAGAAGACATCTGACAGGAAATACCCTGCCCCCACATAGAAGGCCACGCTGGTACCATGATTAGCAGGGGTGGATGCTGAAATGTCTGCTCCCTGCAAACCTCAGAGCAGTCAAGACAACCGTGGTCCGTTTTCCCAGCGTGATTTTTTAAATCTATATTGTGCTTCTCCTTATTCCTTAAGATGATACAGAACCCTTCTAAACGTTGCCTAGTACAGTTTAATTTAACTGTGTATACTTGATACACAAGTAAAATAGAAAATCTGTTCCCACAAGAACAGAAACACTGCTTTTATACACTAGATGTACACACATACACAACGCGCACACGCTCCCCCTCGCCCATTCCTCCGTGCAGATATTTATCCCGTGCTCTCCCATCTCCAGTCCTGTTATCCTTGTTTCTCTTGGATAAATGATTCTCTACTGAGAGTGGGCAAATTTGTTTTATTTTGGAAACTTTCTGGCTGAGACTTTTAAAACAGTATCTCGGGGGGCGCCTGGGTGGCTCAGTCGGTTAAGCGTCTGCCTTCGGCTCAGGTCATGATCCCAGGGTCCTGGGATCAAGCCCAGCATCGGGCTCCCTGCTTGGTGGGAAGCCTGCTTCTCCCTCTCCCGTTCCCCCTGTCTGTGTTCCTGCTCTCACTATCTCTCTCTCTGTCAAATAAATAAAATCTTAAAAAAATAGTAATAATAAAACAGTATCTCGGTTTGCTCATTTTACTAGTTTTTATGTTATGAAATAGCCCAAGAAATGAGACCTTGAACCTTTACCATCCAGCACCCAATTTGAGTTAAACAAAAAATTAACTACCTGTAGTCAGTAGGAGCAGGTTTCTCCCAGAAGTCAGAGTTCTGCCTCTCTCTGAGGCAGAGAATTTCACTCCAAGCACTCAGGACTGGAAAGAGTTGTCAGAATTGTTAGAAATAACGTCTTTATGGTATTTGCCTGTTTTAATAACTTTATGAAGAATTCTCGCTCTTGCGGCATCCCCGACATAACCTGCCTCCACTTGGGCAAGTCACTGCTTCTCTCAAAACCTCTGGATCCTGACTTTCCAGAACAAGGAGGAGATACAGAGCCGGAGGGCCGTGGGCCAGGCAGCATCGACCTGCTCGACAGCTCGTGGCCAGCAGAAGCCCAGTTCTGTGCAGGCCAGCACTGTCGCTGCAAGTGTGTCCCCCCTTTACCAGCTGCATCCTTTCTGAGCCTCATCTGTAGGAAGAGGTCACCACTGATGGGGCACAGGAGGAAGGCTGCTGGGGGCTTTTGTGTCCTTAGCTGATGAAAGGAGAGAGCCGCCACCACCTCTGTGTTCTCTCCCCTCTTCCTGCTCTGGTTATCCTGATCCTTGGGACTGCAGCAGCCATCCTAGGACCACGAGGACCAGCCCTGGGATGAAAAGTGAACGTGCGGAGAAGAACAATAAAAAGACCCTGGGTCCCTGATGTTTTGAGCCTCTGCGTGAGCTCTAGACCTGCCTCCTTCCAGACCCCTGTGAAAGAATAAAACATCTTCATTGCCTCTCACTGTTCGTTGGACTTTCTGTCAGAGCCTGAGTCACACGGTATTGACATGGGGTAAGTGCGCAGATATCAGCAAAAACTCAGAACTTGCATGCATAAAGTTCTCCTGTCTCCTCTCCTCCCGAGGTCTTCAGGGAATGTTTCTCTGAAGTCCCGATTTGTGTTCTTGTTCCTACCTTAGTTGCTTTCCATTCCGCAAGTCTTGATGAGTTCATACTGGATGCCCTGCCCAGTGCCCGATGCTCCATAAATACAGATGACTCCTGAGCGGGAAGAGGCTTCTCACAGGAGACAAGGCCTGCATCTCCAGGGGGGGCAGGAGGTGCTTGTGTGGAAGGGGGGAGTCGTTTCCCAGGAGAGGACGCCAGGAGGAAGAAGGCCCAATGCTGGAGGCAGCAGAACGTGTGCAGAGAGCTACGGGGAGTTCAGGGTCACTGAAACCTGAAGGCTAGCCCAGGAGGGCAGGAGGTGCTGCTGGGGAGGAAGCCAGAGAAGATAAGTGAATTGAGAAAATGCCAAAGGCTTCTCCTTAGTATTTTCGTCCTGAACAATGGCCAGAAGCCACTTAATGCAAGCAGATAATTCTTCAAGAAAAGAGTGGTTTTTTTCTTCAAGAAAACCTAGTGCTGAAGTAGTACCAGAAGAAAAAGACGTAACTGTATTCTGAGAGGCATTTTGTTTATGTGTGTGTAGCAAATTTCCGTTTCTGGCTCTTCTCTCTTTCACAGGTTTTAGAATAGAGATGTAAGAGCTCCACTGGTCCACCAGCTCTAAGGGGTTGAAAAGTGTTGATGGATCGGGAGCATGTGTTTGAGGACAGCTCCACAGTGCAGGGCAGGCCCTGGTGTGAAAACACTGACATCAGGGGGCATTTTACAGCAGTGAGAAGGAGAGGCCCTATCTTCATGTGACAAGAGGTGTCTTGATGAAAGGTCAGTGTGCTGAAGGCTTAACTAGCTGGAAAGAGTGGAAGAAGTTAGAAGAGCCTCCTGCTTACAAGGGTTCTGAAACTGTTCTTCTGGGAGACCCTTAATAGCAAGAGCCTGTCTTTGTGAAAGGGAAGACTCAGGTGGCTTGCACTTGGCTCCTGGTAAAGGATAGGTTTCTTCCATCCGGGGAAAGCCTACCCTTACCCTATTGAGGAAGAGACCTGTAACTCTTTACCGAGTTCCAGAATGTTGGGAGGGACGTTAGAGATGATCCGGTTCGAGCCGCTCGGGAAGGAAAGCGGGAACTGAAGGCTTTTGGCAGACAGACGGCCACGCTGCGATCTGGACCCAGCAAGTCCATAACTGCTGCCTTTCCCCCATCTTACTTTGTTTTCTGAAGTGCCGCTGTGTGGGAGCACAACTAGTAAGATTCTGCCTGCGGCAGAACCCTCGTCTTTGTCCCACGTTGAGCTGGCCTCTTCTTCATCAGCCCACACGCTCCCCTCGCTCAGTGCCCAGAAGCAAGAGCGTGCGGGGCAGAGAGCCGAGTTTCCTATTCAGACCGGCCTGGGTTCGCGGTGAGTTCAGCCGCACTGCTTACCCGCTGTGTAGCCTTAAGCAAATCACTTGCCTTCTCCAAGTCTGTTTCCTTGTCTCTGAGGGTCTTTCGCTGAGGGTGACCCCAGCACGGGACAGTTCTGTGTCGCCTTAGGGGTTTCTAGTTGGCTTGGGCTGGTTTCTGCCACACTCCCAGTATATACCACTCTACTACTTAGCTGTTGCTGTACCATAAATGAGAGAATAAAAACAGCACAGAAGTGACTCAAAAGAAAGCTCTTTATTGGCTCAGCACCGCCTCACACCGTGTTTTCTCCCCTCCACTGCCATCTGCTTTCCCCTCTTCCAGAGTGAGTTCTGGCCCTCGGGCAAGCACTGCCAGCCGGCCAGCATTAGCTACCCGCCATGGTTTCCTGAACCCAGGCCAGAACGGAGGGCACCTTCACGTAGACGCCGTACTCGGCCACAGTACAGCTCTTGTCAAAGCTCAGGATTCCGGCCGCGTACCACGTGTCCTCGTCCTGGTCGTGAACAGCAAAGGCACTGCCAGCATCACCGTAGCAGGTGTCTTCCTGAAACTTGGAGAAGCCGGCGCAGAAGGTGTGCTCGTTCAGTATGGGCTGCACCCCCACGGGGCTCTTGGGTGACTTCTTCTCGGGCACTGTGCTGCCTTCGTAGTGCTGTACACATTTGTCCTGATCAGCCACCGGCAGCATGACATACTTGAGTAGCTCAGTATAATTCAAGTTGGAATTCCGCCCCCAGCCAGACACATAGCCCATGCGCCCCACTTCTGTGTAATCTTTGGAAGGTAGACAGATGGGCATTACCCTCTCATCAATGGGCACCTTCTGCTTGAGTTTGATGAGCCCGATATCGACATTGGAGTAGTCAGGGTGGAGAACCACCTTTTCAATCTCCACAAGCTGATTTTTCCCCACATAGAGTGTTAAAGTAGGGGCAATGTCCTTTGCTTTTGCATCATCCGTGTGGCCCAGGAAGAGATTTTTAGCTGTGGTCAACAGCCATTGTTCGTTGATCAGGGTGGCCCCCGAGGTGAGGTTATGGTTGGAGACCATCTTGGCCTGCCAGGGAAAGCTGCCTTTGGCATCCACGGATCCACCCACGATGCGCTGCACCTGATCCACCGGGTTCTTGGGCTTCCCGCATACTGTCAAGGAGAGCAAGAAAGTCATGAGCAGGAATGTGAGTCTCCCGGTGTGCGAAAGGGGGACAGCGGTGGTGGTTGCTGCTGTCTGAACTGTCGTGTTAATTTCTGCACAGCTAGAAATATTGACATGCCTTGCCTTTACCACCTGCTCCTCTCATTTCCATTGTTTACAGTTTAAAATGGTTCTTTTTTATAAAGTTGTGTACATCACTAAGACACAGTTCTAGTTCCTGCTTTTCTAGCTCACACACACACAAAAGAAGTATTGCTGAGATTTTCAAACCCTGGCTGATGAACTGTATGTATATTTAAATCATTTATCACAAAAAGCCACATCCACAACTCCCTGAAATTCATTGTGAGGATGAGAAGCTATAATAATTCATCCTCTGAATAAAGAGTGATCTGTTGCAGCATTGGCCAGAACTCAGATTTTAGATATTGCAGTTAATACAAGGCAGGTTAGTAGTTCTGCACTGCTATTGGCAGAAGAGGGCAGGCAAAATCCTCTGGTCCCAGGAGGGACACGGAAAGAGCAACATCTCTTCCTAATAACAAGAAACAGAAGTCCTAACCCCTCTCCAGCCTGCGTCACACTTCCATGGATTTGGTTTTGTTCTGTCCTCCCACAACTCGTTCTTCCTGGAGCTTGCTTTACACTTGATCCTGGGCTCCCTGGGCAGCCTGTGTGTACATATAGGGCCTCCTGACCCTAGAGGGCAGTGTAGACCGTGGATTCAGCCAATATCCTGAAGGTCTAAATGAGCAAGATCCTTAGTGAACTTTACTGGGAGTGTCCTCACCTAAAAGTTCACTTATCAGCCTGACCCTTTGTGGCTCTCCCTCGTCCCCCGTCTTGGCTCTCATATGCTCAGAGGAAACCAGTCGGGAAGGATATGCCTCTGGGACGTTTTGATCCAGATGCCTGCCCATGCAGGACACTCTCAATCAACACCTCCCCTTGGTCTGCTTCCCAAGACCCCTGGCTTCCTACCTGCTTCACATTCAGGCAGCTTCTCTCCAATGATCTTGTTTGTCCAGTGCTTCTCACTGTTCAAGGTGTACAGTCCTGAAACAAAAGGAAAGAAGTGAGTCAGAAGAGAAATTGAGTCTGGACCTAGCATGAGGAGGGAAGGTGTTTAAAGGTGATTAAAGAAAGGAGAAGGAAGGGGCAGGGGAGAGGAGGAAGGGAGGAGCATTGTGCTGGAAGCCAAGTGCTGGGGCGCCGGTGAAGCCCCGCAGGACAGATGTGTGGTGGCGGCGACGCAGTACAGTATAGGAATTGGGGTTCAAATTCTGACTCTCCCTCTTACCGGCCACCTGAACTTGAGCAAGTTACTCAACCTCTCTGTGCCTGCGCTTCCTCATCAGCACAATGAGAATAGTAATAAGATCTCTTCAGGGGGCTGTCGTGAGAACTCTGAGCAAATACATGTGAAGCACTTAGCGCAGGGAGCACGATACTAGGTCAGGGCCACCTGTCGTCATCACTGGTGCCACCCTTGGTTCTTTTACCACATCTCCTTTGGGATGAATAGGCTACATGGCATTACCTCCCCTTAGTAAAGGGGCAAACTTGAGGCTAAGATAATTTGCCCAAAAGGCCACAGTTACTGGTGACAAAACCCTTATTAGAATCTACCTCTTCTGGTTCCAAGGAGAACATGTCAGTTTTCTGGCCCCTCACCCTTGGCCCCGGTCATCATGGAAAGACCCAGGGGCGGGGGGGGGGGGGGGGGTGCTGTGCGCAGGGACACTTGTCCAGGTCTTACCGTCTCCTTCAGTGCGCAGTCTGTAGAAGGGCTTACACTGGTAACGAACCAAGTGCTCCACGTAGCCATTTTCAATCTCTGGGGGCTTTGGGACACTGACCTCTGCAAAGAAAAATCATAGGAGGAGGAGGTTGGTACTCAGAGACTGATGCCAGAGACCCGTGAGAAGTCCGTTGAGAAGAAGATGCTGTGCACATCAGCCACCCTCCACCTCAAATGGAAGCCAAAGGGAAGGCCATCCCCCCTCTATCCTGGCTGGCTCCCCAGTGTGCTTCACTGGACTGAAACACCAGAGATTAGGACGAGAAGGAGGAACTGGCTCTTCCCAAAGAGAGGGTGCAGATCTGATAGGGTCAAAAGGAGGCACAGCAGTGCTGGGACATGAGACTCCCACACAAACCCAGACACCTACCTGCATGATCTGTGGCCTCACTGTCAGTGCTCACTGCGAAAAGCTGCCCGCAAAGCAGGAGGGCAATGACAGCTCCCAGGGCTCTGCGAGAGAGGACAAGAAGGGCTGCACGACAGGTTTCCCCGCCTCACGCGCGCACATGCGCACCCACACCCCTCCTGTCAGGCCGCCAGAGAAGAAGCTTCGTGGAAGTGCTGACACCAAGAAGGGGCCTGCCACCATCATCCACACACCCACTCGGTGGGGCAGCTTCCCAGTACACCCAGGTTCCCGCGTGCTCTGCGCCGCTCGGAATTCTACGTGGGCTTCCGAGAGGAACCACCGAGATAGGAAGGCACATAGATCTGTGGGCCTCAGTTTCTGGCACCGTTTAGGAAACATTAAATTGCCAATAATATGTGAGCTCCCCTGCAAAAAGCCTCCCTCAGGCACCCCTAAGGTCCTGGGCTACAGGGTGCTGCTAATAAAATGTGGATGACCTGAAGATGGAAAACAGGGGTTTCCTAGGCTATTCTCTCTACTTTTTAAATTTTTCCATGATAAGATGTTTTAAGTATACAGAATTTAAAACACATACATGGTTTTCCTACTATTTTTTTTGTCTTCAGGAAACCCCCAAAATGCCAAAAAAGGTTCCCAGGCAGATAACCGGCTTCCTGAAAGCCTGACTGTGGACTCGGGCATCAGTGGCCAGGCCCACTCACCACTTCCCCGTCTTGCTGACCGAGGCCAGCTCTACAGAGCTTGCTTGGCTATGCCAAGTTTGTAGTCTTGAGATTTCAACATTTCAAAAAAAAATTTTTTGTTATTTTGATAAAATCTCAGTGCCTTCATTGGGTCATTTATATGTGTTAGTTACTGTTGGTCCTATACATTTTTTAAAAATGAAAACATCTGCTAATGAACATATTTAAATTGCCAGAAAGCCTACCATGGGGGCCACTGACAGGCATCCCCCGCAAAGATGAAAACTGTAACCCCAAGGAAAGAGCCATCCCGTAGAGTAAGTCACGTTCTCACGGATGCAGAAAAGCAGAAGATTTAACACACGAAACCTCTTAATTCGCTATGATTTAACTCATCTGCCCTATCTCTTTGGGTTTGTTTTGCATCTCTCCTTTGGTTTCTCCCATAACTGGGCTGTCCCAGGGGTAAAGGATGTACACAGAGAAGGTTGAAGTAAGCTAGGGAAAGGGGGAGAAGCAGCAGAGCTGCAGGCTCACCTCATCTTCGGTTTGTCCTGGCTTTGGAAGAGAAGTACTGTGGGGGCCTCCTGCTGATGCTTTTATGTCCGCAGTATCTCACTCCACCCCCTCCTCAATTTTGTAATTCCTGTGTCTACACAACTTTGACCTTGTTAATAAGGTCATCGCATTTTCCAGTAACAGAGCCACAAACAGCATCCCTGTTAAGAGTTGAGCTCTTGCTTCACACTTGAGTTTCCCCTGGTGTTTCTCTATAAACCCCATAGAAGCCTGGCCACACTATGACCCCATGTGGCTGCCAAAGGGTTTCCCGAAATCAGCCACTGTGCGCAGGACTGGGGGAGGAGGTGTCAATCTGTGTCTCTTTGTTTTGGAGCGTTTTCAGTGCCGAAAAAGCCCTTGTGTGCGTTATCTGAAACCCACTTATGGACGCTGCTGCAACCTGGCTGAGACAGGGTTCTAAAGAAAGCATTTCCTTTTCACAGTCATTTTCCACCCCCAGTGTTGACATCGCCCTATTGCTTAAAAGTTCTCCAACCTGAAATCAGTAAAATGTATTTATTGTGTCTTCTTTGATAGCTCTTGGCAAAAAATCACACAAAATGGTTAAAGCTATAGTGTAGGCTGACGCAGACCATACTCCACGACAGTGGTTCTCATGGTATTATAGTCCTGTAATTATTTTTTTAAGATTTATTTATTTATTTGAGGGGGGAGGGGCAGAGGAAGAGAGTCTCAAGCAAACTTCTTGCTGATTGCAGAGCCCATCATGGGGCTCGATCTCAGAACCCTGAGGTCACGACCTGAACCGAAACCATGGGTCAGGCGCTCAACCAACTGCACCACCCGGGTGCCCCAAATGTAGTCCAGTAATTAATCCAAATAGCAGTTGGGAAAAATCAATACACTTCAGTCGAATGTCTCCACCTCTATATCTCAAGTATTATTCAGTTGATATTTAATAGCAACTCAATAAAATATTGCTCTGTTCATTAAACAAAAGGTCAGTGATTCTTAGGTTAGAATGTACAAAAGAATCACTTTGGGGTATTCATGGTGGCACTGATGTAATAGCAAGACAACTGGAAATAGCACAAATGTCCATCAATAAGGGATTGGCTACAGACAAGCAAAAAGCAGAATCAGACCTATAAATACTGAGAACAAGCTGATGGCTCCCAGAGGGAAATGGCTGAGGTGGGGGGAGCGGGGGAGATGGGCAAATGGGTGAAAGGCAGTAGGAGATAGAGCTTCCAGTATGGAAAGAATAAGTCATGGGAATAAAAGGCACAGCATAGGGAATAGAGTCAAGGATATGGTACTAGCGTCATATGGGGACAGATGGCAGCTACCCTTGGGGTGAGCACAGCAGAACCCATGGAGATGGTGAATCACTATGGTGTCCACCTGAAACTAATGTAACATTGTGTGTCAACTACACTCAAATAAAATTTTTAATAGGGGAACGGCTAAATAACATGGTGTATTTGTATAATGGAATACAGAACTTCCTCAGCTTATAATGGGGCTGCATCCTGACAAACCAGCTTAAGTTGAAAATACTGTAGGTCAGAAATTCATTTAATACACCTAACCTGCCAAACATCATAGTTTACCCTGGCCTACCTTAAATGTGCTCAGAACAGGGGCGCCTGGGTGGCTCAGTTGGTTGGGTGACTGCCTTCGGCTCAGGTCATGATCCTGGAGTCCCGGGATCGAGTCCCGCATCGGGCTCCCTGCTCGGCGGGGAGTCTGCTTCTCCCTCTGACCCTCCCCCCTCTCATGCTCTCTCTCTCTATCTCATTCTCTCTCTCAAATAAATAAATAAAATCTTAAAAATAAATAAATAAATAAATAAATGTGCTCAGAACAATTACGTTAGCCTACAGTTGGGCAAAATCATCTCACACAAAGTCTATTTTATAATGAAGTGCTGAATATCTCATGTAATTTATTGAATACTATCCTGAAAATAAAAAATAAACTGGTTATATGGGTAAAGAATGGTTATTAAGGGGCGCCTGAGTGGCTCAGTCATTAAGCGTCTGCCTTCGGCTCAGGTCATGGTCCCAGGGTCCTGGGATCGAGCCCCGCATCGGGCTCCCTGCTCCGTGGGAGGCCTGCTTCTCCCCCTCTGCTGTCTCGCTGTGTCTCTCTCTGTCAATAAATAAATAAAATCTTTAAAAAAAATAAATAAATAATAAAATTTTTAAAAAGAATGATACCACTTTGGGGCGCCTGGGTGGCTCAGTCGGTTAAGTGTCTGCCTGCAGCTCAGGTCATGATCCCAGGGTCCTGGGATCTTCTCCCTCTCCCTCTGTCCTTCCTCTCCCTGCTCGTGCACTCTCTCTCTCTCTGTCAAATAAATAAATAAAATCTTTAAAAGAAAAGAAAATAGAGACTCTAACAGATACTTGTACACCAATATTCATTGCAGCATTATTCACAATAGCCGAAAGGTAGAAACAATCCAAGTGTCCTTCAACAGATGAATAAACAAAATGTGGCATATACATACAATGGACTACTATTCACCTATAAAAAGTTCTGACACATGCTAGAACAATGAATAAACTTGGAAAATATTATGCTAACTGAAAGAAACCGGGCACAAAAATATTGTATGATTCCACTTATGTGAAATATTTAGGAGAGGCAAATTCATAGACACAAAGTAGATGAGAGTTTACCAGGGGCTGGGGGAGGGGAGAATGGGGTATTATTGCTTAATGGGTACAGAGTTTCTGTTTGGGATGATGAAAAAGTATTGGCAATGGTGGTGATGGTTACACAACATTACAAATGTAATTAATGCCATTGAACTGTACACTTTAAAATTGGTAAAAAGAAAATTTATGTTATATATACTTTATCACAATAAAAAATTCATGAAAAAAATAAAGAACAAGCAAAACAATAATATATTTTACAGGCATAGATGCCAAGGAGACAAAAACTATATATATTTTTAAAGATTTATTTATTTATTTATTTGACAGAGAGAGACAGCGAGAGAGGGAACCCAAGCAGGGGGAGTGGGAGAGGGAGAAGCAGGCTTCCCACCAAGCAGGGAGCCCGATGCGGGCTCGATCCCAGGACCCTGAGATCATGACCTGAGCCGAAGGCAGACGCTTAACCGACTGAGCCACCGAGGCGCCCCCCAAAAACTATATTTTTTTAAATATTTTAGTAGAATGGAAAACACACAATGTGAAATGTTGCTTCTCATAGGGAGGCAAGAGGAAGGCATCAGAGATAATCACATAGGTAAATATAAATAAATTATTGTTAATGATCCAGCTCTGGGCTGGGTGATAGGTTCATATATGTACATTTTATAATTATACTTTATTAAAATACATATATTTATATATATCAAATAATTTTCAATATATCAAATATATATATCAAATAATGTTTAAAAAATGAAGGGGATGGGAATCACCTGACAGACATTAAGGGGCAAAACCCAGGTCCCTCCTTTTAGAGATTTGCTCCAATAAGTCTGAGCAGAGTCTGAGAATCTACATTGTGAGTGACCCTAACTTCTCCCATCCCTGCATACATGCTGCAACAACTCTGCAGCTCAGTGGTCCTATGAAGTGGAGGGGGAGGTTTTCCCTTTGGGCTGCAAGTGCCCCTTCTAGAAATAAAACATTTCTCACCACCACTGTAGAGGAAATGCTCATCCACTAGGTGCATGAAAATTTGCATTTGCCTGTCTCAGAATGGGGACAGGCAAATTACATCTATTACACCTACCCCTTTTGTTGGGCAACAAGGGAGACTTCACAGCCTCTCTTCCTTGGGTATCCTTTATTAACTTGACAATAAAGAGTATCCAGCCCAAAGGCCTTCTGTCTTACCTGGGAGTTAGGGTGGGATGCTATAAGGTGGTGGCAGCTGAGAAGCCTCAGTGTAGCCAGCCACAGGAAGTAGTGAACACATTTTGTGATGAGAACAGAAAGCAGAAAAGCTTGAAGGATTAATAAAGCAGGGCAGCAGTTGACAGAGAAACGTGAAGGGCAGAGTTTTGATTTTGGAAAGAAAAAGATATTTTTTAAAAGTTTGTTCTGCCGTTACTGAAGTCTTGAAATTTTGCATGCTACAGAAAAATACAAATAAGAAAAAAGTCTTCCCATTATTTTGCCACCCCACGACAACAAATAACCACTACTAACACTTTGGTGTCACTTCCCTCCAGACTTTTCTCTGTACATATTTTTATATAGTTTTGATAATTCTTTATACAGAATTTTTGTGGTCTGCCTTTTTTACCCAATGTTATAGGTGTTTTCCACGTTGTAGCAAACACTTTAACACACTTTTAATGGGGGTGCCTAGGTGGCTCAGTTGTTAAATGTCTGCCTTCGGGTCAGGTCATGATCCCAGGGTCCTGGGATTGAGCACCACGTTGGGCTCCCTGCTCAGTGAGGAGCCTGCTTCTCCCTCCCTCTGCTCATTTGCTCTCTCTCTCTCTCAAATAAATAAAAGCTTTAAAAAAAAAAAAAAAACCACACACACACACTTTTAGGGGCACCTGGGTGGCTCAGTCGTTAAGCGTCTGCCTTCGGCTCAGGTCATGATCCCAGGGTCCTGGGATCGAGCCCCACATCGGGCTCCCTGCTCGGCGGGAAGCCTGCTTCTCCCTCTCCCACTCCCCCTGCTTGTGTTCCCTCTCTCGCTGTCTCTCTCTCTGTCAAATAAATAAATAAAATCTTAAAAAAAACACTTTTAATGCCACATAATATTTCTAACTTAAGGATGTGTCATATATACTATATTATTATTATTATTATTATTATTAGGTTGTGTGTCATATATACTTTATTATTATTATTTATTTTTAATTTATTTTTAGAGACAGAGCATGGGGATAAGGGGCAGAGGGAGAGAGAGAATCTTAAGCAGGCTTCATGCCGAGCACAGAGCCCTATGCAGGGCTTGATCTCACAACCCTGAGATCATGACATGAGCTGAAATCAAGAGTCTGAGTTTAATCAACTGAGCCACCTAGGCGCCCTTCCTGTATACTTTAAATATTCCCTCATTTTGGGACTTTAAGATGATTCTAACTTGTTATAAATATCTTCTATAAATTCAGGGAAGTGAGGTAGGAAGCCAGGCTAATTTTATTCCATATGGATACACAATTGATCCAGCATCATTTACTATAAACATCAAATCTTAGGTGTTCAGCTCAATGAATATATATGTATAACAACTATGGAGACAACACTCAGATCAAGATATAAAATATTTCTGGGGCATCTGGATGGCTCAGGCAGTTAAGCATCCAACTCTTGATTTTGGATCAGGTCATGATATTGGGGTTGAGAGATCGAGCCCTGTGTCGGGCTCCGTGCTGGGCGTGGAGCCTGCTTAGGATTCTCTCTCTCCCTTTCCTTCTGCTCCCCTCCGCCCCCACTCAGGCGTGCTCTCTCTCTCAAAAAATAAAAAAAGGTATAGAATATTTCTAGCACGCTAGATGACTGGGTTCCTTACAGTCAACACCCCACCCTCAAAAAGTAACCACTATTCTGACTTCTGTCATGATAGAATAGTTTTGCCTGTTCTTGAACTGCGTATAAATAGAATCAAATAGTAGTCACTTGTTTTTGGTTTCTTTTGCCCATCATTATGTCTGTGAGAATCAACCATATTGTCACATTAGTTTGCTTCTTTTTTATTCCTAAGAAGTATTCCATTGTATGAATAAACCACGATTGATTTATTCATTCTCCTGTTTATGGATGTTTGAATTGATTTCAGATTGGGGCTATTATAAATAAAGCTGCCATGAACTTTCTTGCACATGTCTTTTGATGGATACATGCATTCATTTCTCTTGAATAAATATCTTGCTGTGCTGGGATGCCTGGCTGGCTCAGTAGGTTAGGCATCTGACTCTTGATTTCAGCTCAGGTCACGATCTCAGGTTTGTGAGATTGAGCCCCACATTGGGCTCCCACTCAGTGGGGAGTCTGCTTGAGATTCTCTCCCTCTGTCCTCCCTCCCCCTGAGCTCTCTCTTGCACAGGTACTCTCTCTCTCTCTCTCTCTCTCTCTCAAATAAATCTTTAAATATCTTGCTGTGCCATGGGGTAAGCAATGTTAAGCTTTAATAGATGCTACCAAACAACTCTCCAGTCTACACTCCCACCAGCAATATATCAACGTTCCAGTTGCTCCATATCCTTGCCAATATATTTCAATTTTAGCCTGGTGTATATACAGCAAAATATAATGATGGCTTTAATTTGTATTTCCCAGATATTTAATGACATACAGAGCATTTTGTATATTCTTATTGGTCCATTTAGATAACCTCTTTATGAAATGTCTTTTACTTATTGATTTGCAGGAGTTGGTGTTTTCTTTTTTTTCTGAACACTAGTCTATTGTTGTATAGATGTAAACATCTTCTCCCATTCTATGGCTTATCTTTTCTCTCTTAATCATGTATTTTAAATGAATAGAAGTATAGAAGTTCTTATTTTTAATAAGTCCTAGCTTATTCAGTTTTTTTTAATTTTATGGTTAGTAATTTTTGTGTCCTGATTAAGAATTTTTTGCCTAAAAATTCTCCCAAATTTTATTCTAGAAGTTTATTGTTTTACCTTTCTCATTTAGATCTATAATCCATGTGGAAGTAATGTTCATATATGATGTGTTCAAGTTCAAGTTCATCTTTTTCCATATAAAGCATCATCCTTTGCCCCTAAATTGCAGTGGTACCTTTGTTAGAAATTAGGTGACCATATGTGTTTCTTTCTGTATTCTTTATTCTGTTCCATTAGTCTATTTGTCTTGTTCTGAGTCAATGCAACTCTGTCTTCATAAGGAACTTTATAGTAAATCTTGCTATCCAGTATTATAAGTGTTCCAACTTTATTCTTTTTCCTCAAGATTGTCTTGATGGACTATTCTATATTCTAGGTCCTTTGCATTTCATATAAATTCTGAAATGAGCTTTCAATTTTCACAGAATGTCCTGCTGGGATTTTGAATGAGAGTACATGAAATCTCTAGATCAACTTGGGGAGAATTGATATCTTAACAATATTGAGTCTTCCAATCCATTAACATGTATATGCCCGCATTTATTTATCTTTAATTTCTTTTTTTTTTTAAAGATTTTATTTTTATCTTTGACAGAGAGAGACACAGTGAGAGAGGGAACGGAAGCAG